AAGGACCAGAATGTGCTCTCTGCTGGCTGATTAGGAGGCCACCCTGAGAGTGGGCCCTAACTACGAGCTTTGGGATGCGTAGCTCTGTGTATGGTTTTGTTAATGCTTATTTTGGGGGAGGGGATTTTTTTTTTTTGTCTTTTTGAGACAAGGTCTCGCTGTGCAGTTCAGGCCAGCTGTGAGCTCACTTTGTAGCCCAGGCTGGTCTCGAACTCACAACGATCCTCCTGCCTCAGTCTCCCAAGTGCTGGGATTACAGGTGTGTGCCACCACACCCAGCTTTGGGGGAGGGGATATTACATTAGATTTTAAACATATAAAGTGGAGGCTTGCAGACCGAACATATCATTCTTACATGGGGGAATAAAAGGCTTGGTAGATGATGGGAATTGAAAGCGCACCTGAGAGCTAAGATTCCAGTCAGGCTCACCACTTCCTAGGGTCTAAGGTGAAAGGCATGAGGGAGACCCAGAGAGAACGAGCACAGTTTTGCATGGGTGGGTAGCTGGCAGGAAGCTGTGGGGTATGATGGGTTGCACTGGGGTCTCTACGTGTCCACTGACTAGAGGTTCCTGGGACAGAAGTCCTCACACACAATTGTGACAAATGAGCCTCAGATCAGTACACTTGAGCACGTGGTGAACTCCACCAATAGAAATCGAAGTATACTGAGCCAGGTGCGGTGGTGCATGCCTGAAAGCCCAGCAGTTGGGAGGCGGAGGCAGAAAGACCACAAGGTCAAGCATGGGCTACATAGCAACTTCAAGGTCACCCTGAACTACATAGCAACAGCCTGTCTCAAAAAAACCAAAATGGATGAATGAATGAATAATAAATAAATAACAACAATAGCAAAAAGCCAAAATAAAAACCAAAAAAATGTAAGCCCCTATGTCCATGGATACCATTTATTTATAAGAAAATAAAATACCCTGATGTACAGTGTACACTTATAATGTACATTATAATATAGATGCAGATCATCAATGACAAAGAATTCTACAAACTAGACTTAGGCAGAAGTTCTATTTTCATCATGTACCCCAGTGGAGGCCTCGTTCACCCCATTTCTCTGCAAATCCTGGACTCCGTATGCATGAGGCATGGGTGCAATGCACACACTCTCATCTCATTTTTGCTCCTGGCTCTAGGGCAGTCCACATGCCTTTAGCACTAGGTCTCTGAAATCGTTCTTATGAAAACATCCAGATGATTTCTTGACCTGAGATTGAGGACGGTCTGCTCAACAGCATCAGTAGACAAATGTTTCTGGAAGAACAGGAATCTTTGGATATTTAGGTGGAAACTCTGCTTTCTCACCGGGGAGTTCTGCAGAAATTGACACATGTTTACTTGGTGATTTTGCCCCCTTGCCACATTCCTTTTTGGAATTATTCTTGGAGTACTGCACATTATTTTTTTTCTTATGCTATTAAAACTGTCAGGCTGAAATTATGTCTTTTATCTTTCTTACTCCATGAGGACTGCAGACTTGGCTGCACAGTTTGCAAGGAGTTTATGATTTCCAGAACATTACTGCTGCCTCCTATAGCCAGAGAATGCCATAGCTGGACTGCTTCAGACGTGCAAACTCTGAGAGCTTTCTGCATTGCTCTCACGGCTGACTGTGATGATCAAGTGCACATTTTGCACAGTGACTAGATGATTTAGTTGAAGGTCTAGGGTGAGCAAATGACAATTTAGGAACCAGAGCCGGAAGCCAAGCTTCTGACTCCAACACAGCTCTTTCTTGGGAGGCCAGTGCCTTATCCATCAGGCAACGGGGCCTTCCACACAGCTTGTGCTTGATCACAGGCACCCACACCCCAGGCTCTCAGGTGTCCGCTTCCTCCTGCCTGGCTTCTGGAAGAATGCTTGGCTGGAAGTACAGAGCTGGTCTGGCATTCTAAGCGGGGCAGGCCCTAAAAGCCTCAAGGGCAACCCTGAGATGCAGACTTGGCCTTTCCACCTGCTGGGCTGAACTCTGCAACCTTGACAACCCGCCAGATGCTCCTGACAGCCCCTGGAGGCACAGCCCCTGTAATCTGGCTAGAGCAGCTACAGGTCTTACCACAAGGCACAAAACCCTCAGACTGAAAGAGCAAACAAAGATCCGGTGGATTCAGAGCAAGGATGCAGGCCGTCTCCGGGCCTCAGCTATGGCCAGCGCTGCTTCTCTTTCCCTGGTTGCGTGTCCTCTCCTGCCACTGAGCATAAGGCAAGAAAGCTGGGGATGGTTGCATACTATGGGAAACACCCAGTGGATGTGATGAACTCCAAGGAAGGACTGAGAGAGGGTTGATTTACAGGACAAGGTCTAGAATGCGAAGGGTTTTTTTTTTGTCTTTTTGAGACAGGGGCTCACTATGCAGTTCAGGCTGGCCTTGAGCTCACTTTGTAGCCCAGGCTGGCCTCCAACTCACAATGATCCTCCTGCCTCAGCCTCCTGAGTGCTGGGATTACAGGCGTGCACCACCATGCCTGGTCAGCCATAGAGGGTTCGTATCTCTTCTACATGTGGGTTTTGTTGTCATGATGGCCACCCGGCCACAGCAGCGGTATGTGTGTGTGCTTAGGCATGGGAGGCTGGGGCTTCCTCCCCTTTGGGGAGTATACTCTGGAAAAACAATGTCCTTTCCCCGTCAGTTAATGCCATGTAGAGGGATCTGTCTTCCTGTTTCTCTCTGTCGCTCCCTCTCTTTCCTTCTCCCTCACTCTCCCTCCCTCCAGGATGCTACATCAGACTTTCTCCCTCTATCTGCAAAGAAAGCTTCCATTTACCCTGCACATACCTGGAGCTCAGTTTGTTCAGTGGCAAAGGTGGCAAAGAAGGAATTACAATAAGGGATGCTCACCCTGGGGTGGAGCCGACCTCTGGGAAGAGGGGCTAGGGCCAAGGATCTGCTCCAAATGCTTAGTGTGTAAACTTGAACAAAGCTGGTCAGGAAGCAGCCCAGAACCACACCCACCCGCACAACTATCCCCACCCTCAGAACTACAACCACCCACAGAGATGAGACTTGGGGAGGCCAGGGCCGTTCTCATCACACGTTCTGAAAAAGCCATGGTAAGAGGGATGCAGCTTCAAGCAGCTGTAGAAGGAAGAGTACAAGGCCAATGGATGGTAGCTCTTGAGAGTTTTTGTTCAACAGAAGGAAGAACACTTCACTATCAGGCTCTCTAGAGAGCTGTAAATACCTCTAAAGTACTAAAAATCTGGCTAGCCCACACTGTGGCCATGTTCCTGCACTGAGTGGAGGGGCAGAGGGATATGTGGCAGGTGGTTAGATAGTTTGATTCTGTGCCTCTCAGGACTGCATAACACAAGGTCAAAGCATTCATCAGAGCTGCACTTTATATACAACCCTATGTCATTACCACAACATCCTCCGGAGGAAACCAGGTTCATTATGAGAAGGAAGCGGCCCTTAAGTAACACGATAAACGAGGTGCAAGTGAAGGACACTAACACCGCTGGACGACCCTATCCTGCATGACCTCTGTGTGTGTCACTTCCCGTGCCTGTGCACTGTGGAGATGATCATGATGACTACTTTCCAGGGTTGCTGGGGAGAGTAGATGAAATTACAGCAGGTCACTGAGAGCTTGCCAGTGGTCAGGCACTGTTTTAGTTAGTTAGGTTACTACAACTCACTATTTTACAAATGCAGAATCTCAGGCAAAGAGGGTAGGTGACTTACTCATGGCTATACAGCTAGGAAGAGGCACAGTCAGGATTAAATCCCAGTAGATTTCTCCATACTCTGTCCAAATACTCAGCACAGTGCCTGGCACAAAGTAAGTGCTCAATGTGTGAATTATCATTGCTGAGCAGGAATAGAATACAGAGGTGAAGACGGGGTGCTCTAAAGCTCTATGCCTGGTGCTCTCATCTGTAAATTGGGCATACAAACATCTATCTTACAGGGAAGCTCAAAGGTTAAATGATTAAATATATGTAAAAGAGTTAAAGACATCATAGCACATGTTCACAGAAGCGTAATTTATAATAGTTAAATCTTGGAAGTGGCCTATATGCTCATCCACAGATGAACGGATAGAGAAGGTGGTATTTATACACAATGGACTAGTACTCGGCTATTAAGGATAAAATGGAGTTATTCGCAGGAAAATGGATGGGAACACAATGTTAAGTGAAATAAATCAGACACACAAGCTTAAATATTGCATGATTTTTCTTATACAGGAAATCAAAGTGTAAATAAATTAAACAGCAAAATAAAAGATAGATAATAGGAAAAATGGAGATCCAGTAGATCTTTTGCAAGTGAAAAAGGACCAAGAGATAGAGGGAGGGGGAGGGAGGAGATGAGAAAGGGAATATAAAAAGAATTAAGATGTTTTATGTACATGTACCAACTCCCCACAATGAATGAGGTCATTATTTATTGCAAACACGTATTAATAAAATATTAAAAAATAATAAAATGCTTAGAAGAGTGCCTGATCAATCATAAGTGCTAAATAAATGTTACCTAACATAGTAAAAACATGGCTTAGGTTACAAATACATACAGAGATGTTTAATGTGTTACTATGACAAGAAGTCAGGCCAATGGTTCTAATATCCATACATGAATGGCAGTCACTCAAAAAGTGCCCCAGGGCAGTAAGGAGACATCTCTACCAACCATATAGCACACAGCAGAGTCTGCTTCTTTGACTGCTTCATGCTTAGCTAAATCCCAACTACTATATATATGTGTACGTCCTCAATCCTTGTGGGTGGTGATGGTGTTTCTGTAGATAGTTACTCTCCCTGGAAAGTTCTCCTTTTGCCTAAATTTCAAGTGCAATTTTCAAGATTTTAGAGTCAAGGAGAAGGGCTATATAGGCAACCCTAAAGACAAAATGAGACATTTTCCATTTTTTCTTAAAATGCCATAGGTTATGAAGAGACTCCAAGGATTGAGCCGAGTATAGAGACTGTACACGTCTAAAATCCATTGTCCTCTGGGGCAAAGGGCCTGCCATCCTACCTGGTGAGCTTGGTGCCGATCTGCTGCCTCAGCTCCAGCCTCTCCTCATCTGTCTGCCTGGGCAGGATGTTCTTTTCTTCCAGCTCTCGCTTGGAGGGCCTGTTGCTGAGTTTGATGGCTAAGGAGTCCTTTCTGCAGACCTTCATGGCCAAGGAGCCTGCAGAAGAGAGAACTGACTCAGTGAACGAGGACACATATCTGCCTGGGCTCCCAAGGAGCTGATGGTGGGCCATATGGTAGGAGGCAGAAGGGAAGGCACAAAGGGCTGGACATCTGAGACGGCTGAATGTCCCAGGTCCCAAGATCCCTGCCCTCACCACGCTCCAGACACCTAGCATTGTGGGGAGCTGAGATTGGGTCTCTGTCCTGCAGAAACTCCGGGATGCAGGCAACATCACAAAAAGGGCAGGATGGGATGCCACAGCCTGCAGAGGAGTGAGGACAGGGCTTGGTCACCAGAGACAGCTTCACAGGGGTGGGCTGACACCTGCAGAGGGGAGGCCCGCAGGTAGCAGGCTGGTGGAATCTGCACCTGTGCATGCTCAGGGGTGATATGGGGGCTCCTGAGGGGCAGAGAGATCTGCTGCTCTGGGGCTAGGGCAAGTGGCAAGGGACAGCTGAGTAGAGACGGTGGGGCCAGGTCAGGGTGGGGGTGGAGGTATAGACTACATAGCAGGCAACATTCTGGGCCTGTGCTTTTTTTTTAAGATATGAACTTCTGAGCAGCCGGGGCACGGCTTTCTCATATCTGCTATAAATCTGTGGTTCTCAACTGGGTCAGTCTTGCTCCCCAGGGGGCAGCTGACATTGTCAAGAGCTGTTCTTGGTTGTCAGAACTGGGGCTGCGGGGAAGGCTGTGAAAGGTATGTAATGGGGGAGGCCAACGAAGCTGCAAGCCACCCTGCAACTCACAGGGCAGCCTCCAGCACCCAGGACCATCTGGGCCCAAAGACCAAGTGTGCAAGGCTGAGAGCCCCGGTGGAGAGCATTCAGGTCCCTGCACCACAGCGAGCGGTGGCTGAGAAGCTGTTCCTCCCATTCCTGGCTGGCTGAGGTCTCTGGCTGCCCCGCTGGGATTCTATGCTCAACATCAGTTTGGTCATTTCTTGGTTCACCAGGACTCTTAGAGCCACCCGGAGCCTGGTGAGCAGAGAGCAAGAGGGAGTGGGCTGGGCCTTCAGATTTTATCTAGTGGTGCTTTTCTGCTGTCTTCTGTTGCTGGTTTTATTTTATTTTATTTTAGTTTTTTTTTTCCGGTACTGGGAATTGAACTCACGACCTTGCGCTTGCCAGGCAGGCGCTGTGCCGCTGAGCTAAATCCCCAGCCCCTCTTGCTGGTTTTAGAACATGGGCTCTGGAATAAAATCTCAGCATTGACTCTTAGATGAGAGGCACTGGGCCTCTTCCTTCTTTCTCTGTCTTCTTCCCATATCCATACATAGTGTGAACAGTGTCTACGCCCCAGCGCTGTGGTAAGATGCAGATAAGAGAATACAATCTTAGCATGTTTTCAGGCTCACAGCATATACTCAAGATATACTGTGGTTGCTATGATTAGAAATTCATTTATTAAAAAGTTGGCCAAATACCAGGCTGTACTCGTATTACTAAAGTGTATTTATTATTCATGGCCAGAGTGATGGACTCTGCATTCATTTTCTCCATTTCTTCTCTCGTCTCATGGCACCTTTCAAAGTCTTAAATGACAAGTTGAAGTTCAGGCCTCCTGAGGCTGACAGGTGTGCTTCCACACGATTTGCTGCACACAACATGGCAGCTATGGGTGTATTTTCTAGATGGGAAAAAATTTTGAGGCTCCCCCGCCTTTTTGAGGGGGAGGGTGCAGTACCAAAGAAAGCAACAAAGGAAGAACTGCCTAAGAGGCCGGAGGTGGTGGTGGGGCGCCGCCATGTTTAGAGCTGGGAAGGCATTAGGAGAATATTTACTTTCTCAGATCAGTGCTCGAGGAGGTGACAGCAAAAGGGAGGGGCAAGAGACGGGAGGCAGGGAGGGAGAAGGAGTTAAGATGTGTTGGGCACCCACTGCTCACTGCGAATGTACTCGTTCTGCACTCCAAACAGGTACTCAGAACAATCAAAACAATAATAAAAGAAAGACAGTGAGGCCCAGGACATTAATTTAGCTGCCCTCTGACCCAGACCGGAACCGGAAGGTGGGGCACTGGGTCAGCCCTCCCTGCCCCACACCACGCTCCCCTCCCTGGTGGCGCCTGACGCACTTACTGGTGTACAACGAGCTGTCGTCGTCTTCGTCCTCTTCTTCCTCCTCTTCTTCCCTTGTGTAGAGGCAAGAAGAGTCTTCGTAGTCCGACTCATGAGGCACGTTTTCTTTATTGTCATCACATTCAATCACAACGGTTGGCACTTGTCTGATTTCCGGGAGGCCCATAGATCCTGCTTTGGTGACACCGTCACTCGAGTGCAATCCAGAGCTGTGGTATGAAGTGGAACAGGGGACTCGCTGCTCAGAGCTGTTGAAAACGCAGGCGGAAAGAGGAAACTCCTTTTAGCAAATGTGTCATATAAATGCTCCTAAACTGTTCTAAAATTCAGCTGTCCAAGCCAGGTGGGGTGGCGAGTAATCCCGGCACTCTGGGAGGCTGAGGCAGGAGGATCGCAAGTGTGAGCTCAGCCTGGGTAACTAACAAGACCCTGCCTCAAAATTAAAAAATAAAACAAGGGCTGGAGATGCAGCTCAGTGCAAAGGCCCGGACTGCTTCAGTCTCCAGTACTGAAAAAAAAAAATCAGTTGTCCATTCCTAAGAGACAAAGGGTCTAGCAGACAATGTAAATCCATTGCTCATCTTATAGCTTAGCATTCTAGGACAACATAGCTTCCTGCTGGAGGGTAGTGGCTGGGAAAAGGAAAAGAGAATTCTAATTCCCTGAGGGTGGATGGTGGCTGCACAACAGTGCGAACCCACTCAATGCCCCTGAAGCACACATTTTAAAATGGTTAAGATGGCAATTTTTTGGGGGGTGCTGTATTGGGGATGGAACTGAAGGGTGTCCCACCCCTGGGCTACACCCTAGCCTTTTAAATTTTGAGACAGGGTCTCCTTGAGGCTGGCCTCCACCTTTCCATCTGCCTGCCTCAGCCTTCTGTACATAGCTGGAATTAAAGGTGTGAGTGTGAGCTACCGCACCTGGCTTCACATGGCGAATTTTATGTTCTATATATTTACCATAATTAGCTTTGTTTTAAAAAAGACAAAAATTCTAATCCCACACATATTTCTGATTAAGATCAGTTCTTCAAGGGTCAGAGAAAGGTTCACTTGCAACCCACACATGTCATAGGAGGGGTAAAGAAGTAACTTAGTGGGAAAGCCAGAGATCCACAGAGAAAGACAATATGTGAAGTGCAAGTTTTCAGAAGCTAAGCAGGGTGGCTGGGAGGGATCCAGGGTAAGGCTGGAGGTCTGAAGGGTTGTGGGTGAGGTAAGGGAAAAGAAGAGAACTAGGGCAGGGTATGGTGGCACACATCTGCAACCCCAGCACTCCAGGGGGCCAGGGCAGGAGGATCAGGAGTTTGAGCCCAGCCTGGGCAACTCAGTGAGATGCAGTCTCAACAAACAAACAAATAAGAAGAGCTGGGGATGTAGCTAAGTGCGAAGGTCCTGGGTTCAATCCCCAGTATCAGCAGGAGGAGGAAAGAACTGAGAGAGTCGTGAATGAACATCAGATCAGGGTGACACAGTGACAAGGAGGACAGAGACTGGTCCTTCGCAAAGACGGTATCCGGCCACAGGAGGCAGAGCCAGTGCCAGCCTGCTCTTGTTTGCTCTTTCCTTTTGGAAGGCTGGTTTTCTAAGAAGTGATGCTGCTGCTCTGGGAGCCAACTCAGATCAAATTTTTTTTTTTTTTAAATTAAAAAGAAAAAAGCTATACTATGTCTTTGAAAATAAAGAAAATAGTTATTTTCTTAATAAAGTCTACATGAGGATCCTGTAGCAATGGAGAGTCCTAATGACAGCCTTTTCATGAATTCAGCAAAAATAATGAGAATAGGAAGCCAGAAACACATAATTAAACGTTTTCCCTTTCTGCAGTGTTGGCGACGAATCCCCACGCCTCACATACGCGGGTCAAGAGGTCTGCCGTTGGGCTATATACACCAGCCTGGTAAAATCGTTCATGCTTTTTCAGATTTATTGGAAATGGAATTTCTTTTCTCACTTAACAAATTTATGAACCCAGGAAACTTAATGTACTTTATCATCTAAAAGTGTTTAAGACTCATTTAGAAATGGGCTGTGAGGTTATATTACCTATCAATGAGTTTTACATTCAAATATTTTATCCTAAAGAAATCTTATTTAGGATACAGGAAGTCATGAGTTTCCTTTGAAGCTTCCCATTATGCTTTAAATTATTGCTATGTCTAACTTAAATTCAATTAACTTTCTTTTATTGTTTCCAAAGAGCTGTTTTGCTCTTTCTATTTTTCACGTAGCTCTTGGAAAACCCAGTTAACACATTATGAACTATGATGTTGGAGGCAATGAGCTAAATCAATGTTTTAAAAAAAACCAACTACTGAAAAACGCAGCATCTTGCTGGGCTGTCCGGAGCCCAGTGGTAGCGCTCTTGGTACGCAAGCGTTAGCACCTCTGAGGGCCTGGGTTCTATCCTCAGCAACACACACACACACACACACACACACACACACACACACACACACACACACAGACAGAGTGCAGCGACTTCCTTAGTGTTCAGGGAAGTCCAGTTAGAGCTAATTTTGTAGAACTGGCAATGGAAGCAGGAAAGTGGGGTGCACACATGATAGATGGCCTCCCAAGTGACAAATATGGCATGAGACTGTAAGTTGGACGCAACAGGGACTTACTGCCCTGCCCAGTGACAGTCACTATATTCCAACAGTGCTTGGATTTCTACCCTGGCCATTAAGGGAAGTAAGGACGGCAGAGGTAAGGATTAATTCCATGCCTTGTGTTTGTACCACCCTGCCTTCTTCTCTCCTCCTTTATAGTTTATTTAGCAATGGTTCCTAAAAAGGGGCAGAGTTGAGAATACAGCAGCTGGGAGTGAGGGATGAAAAGCAGCCCACAAGCAGGAAGAATCTTTTGAAGAAAAATAAAGTGAGAAGCCAGAAAGCGTAAGAGTTCCTTAAGGCAGAAAGCGCCGAATTGATTGCAGAGGATAGAGAAGGGTGCAATACTATGCAGAAGGAGAGAAGGGAGCCAGCCTCACAGGTGGTGTGTGATAAACAAGATAGAGCGGGAGATCTTGATTAGGATGGGGTCATACAGAGGCCCTCCCATCACGTTCGGGGTGAGCACTGCTGCTCTGCAGCCAACCAGGAATGGAAACTCAGCACCAACAAAGAATTAGTGGGCTGCCGCCTACTAAGAAAGACACTTTTATTTGTAAGGCGGAGAAAGCAGAAGACAGAAAGCTGCCCCAAAGAGGGGGCAGGAGTTCAGGAAAGGTGCATTCCCCATGAGCCTTTGGTCCCGCAGGGAGCCTTTCCCGCTGGGACACGCCACAATGTGATGGGCTCCCTGGGCTGTCCTTGGGTTAAACCAGGCACCCTCATCTATGTGCACATTACTTTCGGTGGGCTTTTGTTTGACTTCTGTCTTGTCCGCTTGTCCTTGGCAGGGCCTTCCCTCTGGGATGGGCAGCTGGTTGGTTAGGAGGAGCCTTGGCTACGGTTAGCTTAGAGTTAGTAAGGGGATGTGTGTCCTAGTGGAGGTGGGGAGCGGTGACTGTCCCAGCTTCTTGGCCTCAAGTTATTGGCCTTCTCTGTGCTCTGCCTGGCAGCTCCCTCTCTCCAGCAAGTCCCTCTGCCACCTGTGCTGGCTGGAGCCTTTTCACTTCTGGTCTGCCCCTTCTTTCTCCTTCCTTGCCCTTGAGATTGCTCCCAAGGGAATTTCTCTAGTAGAGTTTTAGCCGCCAGTCAAGATTAGGCAGAAAACCTAACTTATTCTGTTCTTCCCTTACCTGCCAGACAAGTAATTGCTGAGTAGTTTGCAGGATAAAAAAAATATAAGGCTGGAATGACTGATATTTAAGTGTCAATGTAAGTGGTTGAGAAGCACATGCAAAGGGTATTAAGTAAGGATTGTTTTTTGTTTTTCAGGGGGACATCTGGTGGTGTATTGCAGAGGTCTCAGTGTCCCAGATTGGTTGGCATCTTTATGAATGGCTAAGATAATGCCAGAAAGATCATCCTCATCAAATACATGGAGGAACTGAGGTAGCAAAGTAGGGAGAGTGAAAAAAGGAAATGTTTCCTGGCTGCTGCCCACCGTTTTCCAAATGTTCCCAGTCAGTCTCCCATTTCATCTTTCTGACTACCTTGCTGGAGAAGTTACTATCCCTATTTTATGAAGCAGGAAATTGAGGCTCTGAGAGGGAAATTAATCAGCCCACAAATACAGGGAATGAGTTGGGATTTGAGTCCATCCTGTAACAATACTCTGTATCCCAAATTGCACTGTGACCCTTACAGGGTTGTGTGCTTTGACTGAACACAAGTCCCACTAATCATACCCACATGAGACGGTGGAAACATCACGTATAAAAAAGATCCATAAAAGTGGGCACTGTTTAGACCTTACTAGACAGGGCAAGTAATGGTGTCCTGCCCTGTCACAAACGGGCCACTCCTGGGCACTGAGTTTAATGCGTTCCTCTTGGACGCTGGGTCCAGAATAGTCAAAACAGTGCAAAACTCAGCCATTTACCTACTAATGGGGCTGCTCTTGTAGCAAATGGCAGAGTGAGTGCTTGCAATGGAGCTCTAAATATTTACTATCCAATTCTTTATAGAAAAAGTGTCCCGACCTCTGATCTAAACTAATATTTCCTAAACCTCCATTGTACTCCTAATTCCTTAATTTTTGTGTAAGCCATTTCCTGAACTCCATTACACTATTTGCAGTTATTTACTTTATATTTTTCTTCAAGTCAAAACTTCTTATGAACTTAAATTTATTTTAACTTTAAGTAAACAATGTCTGTTATCAAAACACATGCTAAGTATGTTAATAACATGTATGTACAATTTTTATATTAATATATACACTTTAATATTCATATCATGCATGTCAGTGTATTAAAGAAAATATTACGCATAAAAATTATCTCAAACCCATTTTACCCACCACTCAGCTCACCCTCTACACTGCTGTCAAATTGGTCTGATCATGTAATTCTCTCAGTTACAATGGGGACCGGTTGTGTAGTCAGTATCAACAGCTGCCTGGTGGGGGCACTACAGAAGCAGCTGGAGACATCTGCTGACCAATTAGGTTGTGGTCCAAGAAAGTGTGAATCAAGCAGGTGCTACAACACCTGTTTTTTCCTAAGGAGAAAAAAAGTATCATTTAGGAAGCCAGAAGAATTCACCAAGAGGGTTTTAAAACATCTATTAAGAAGTAACATTGAAGGGCAAGTATATGGCCACCAATGACTGAGACATCATCTTTTGTTTAAATGC